CCAGTTCAGTTTATACTGTATATCTGAAAGTTCTCGGGTGCACATTTAATTTGCAATTGAGCAACGATAACCACTTATATTTAAGTATGTTAAAGGACATGTTTCAATCATGACTGCTGTGTTAAACAGAATAACAGAGTTGGAAGGGAGCTTGGAGGTCTCATCAAGCAGGAGACCCTGTACCATTTCAGACAAATGGCTGTCCAATCTCCTCTTAAAAACATCCAGTGATGGAGTAGCCTTCTGAAGGAAAGCCATTCCACTAATTGTTCTAACTGATCAGGAAATTTCTCCTTAGTTCTAGGTTGATTGTCTTCTTGACTGCTTCTTATACTGCCTCTCAGATGCTTTGGTGAATGGACTGAGCTCCTGTACTTCTGTGGCAGCCCTTTAGATCAGGGGTTCTCTTTTTAAACAAGGGGCTAATTCACGGTCCCTCAGACTATTGGGGGGAGCAGACCAGCTGGGTGGGCATGGTTGGGTGGTCAAGTAACTGGGTGGGCATGTCCAATTTAGCAGTCCAAACAATAGAAACAAAATTAAACTTTAATTTGTTATGTTCTTGGAACTAGAAAGCAGGTTAGTGAAGGGATGTGGCTGCCTTGGGGTGTGTATGAGGAACTTCTGTTTGTGTGTGTGTCTCCCTCCCTCGCTCTCTCTCTGGAGGCCAAAAACACCCCTATTTTTGGCCTCCTGGGGCGTCCATGTATCCCATTTTTGGCCTTCTCAGCATCCAGTACCACTTTGCCGACCCAAAATGGGCCCGTTTCTGGCCTCCCAAGGCCTCTGTATGTCCCATTGTTGGCTCTCCAGCCTCCAATAGCATTCTGCTGCCCTCAAACAGTCCTGTTTTGGGGCTCCAGAAAGTGGTGGTGGTGGGGTTGGTGGGTAGGTAGGGTGTTGTGGTTGGGGCAGCCTCGTGGTCCCACATGGGTCAGGTTAATGGCTTCAGTGGGCCATATCCGGCCCACGGGCTGTAGTTTGAGGACCCCTGCTTTGGATATCGGAACACTGCTATCATGTCACTCTTAGTCCCTTTTCTCATTAAATTAGACTTGTAGGTTCGCAGGACGGTGTAGGATCCATGTACACTATAAATACTCCTCGAGCCAAATTGATTGTTGTAAAGAAAAGGCAAACCAATTTTTTCTTGGGAGTTTATTGAGCTGAAGTCCCAAAACTGATTTCAAATGCTACTAAAATCAGCGGAATCATGCATGAAATCTGTTTCCTGTTTAGTATGTACAGGACTGCCAGTTAAGGCTTCCCATTATCCATTTACAGACTAGTAATTTTGATGAGATACGAACCTCCTACAGATAGGGCCTTTTCTATTTAATTTGGATCTTTTGCTTTATAGAGCTATACAGTAGATTTGTTTGAGAAGAATAAACACTTAAAACCATGCTAAGTTCAAGCTAGGGGAGAGACGGCAGATGAGAGAAACCATTTAATCATACCTAAGGNGAGGTTACAGAAAATATATCAACTTGAAAAGACCTGAAATAAGTTGGCTGAACTCCAAGGCATCAGACATCAGTGCATTCTTAACAATTATATCAAATATTTGTTTCTTTTTCCTGTTCTGACCAAGGAAATATGTTCCACAATGTTTGTCAGAATCTAGAACTTAAGACAAGTGCTTGGAAAATTCTAGAACAAGGAAGAAAATGGTACCTCAGGTCTGAGAAGAGAAGGCCTCAGCAATTGCTGTTGCTGACAAAGGGGAAAAAAAAGATATAAATTTGATTTAATGGAAAAAGGCAAATAAAACAAAGTAATTTTTATATCATTATAACAATAGTACACTTTTACAACACAGCTACCATTTGGTTTCAGAGCCAAAGTGATTTTCTTTCAAGACTAAAGGGCTAAAACACCTCAGATTCATAAAATGAACACGCTTGAGTGTTAAACTTTCTTTTGGAGCTCCGTTGTAAATTCCATTAGCAAGGCTAAGTTGCAAACAGTTTGCCGTATAAACTGTCTCAGTTCCGTCACCCAACAACTATTTTAGAAGGTCTCCTATTAATAAGGTCATTACTCCATTTGCACCTATCTTCACAGTTTTCAATAGTCCGCTATATTTTATATTCAGTACAGAAAATATTGTGTGATAATTCTATTGGTCTTTCAAGGCATCTTGCATCTCCCCATCCCTCCTGTTCATAATGTCAAGTTCTGTATTCATTCTGAAAGTGATTCCTATTTATAAAACATACATCTTACAATTTTACAGAACAATATTGTTAATTGGACTTTTGATTTCCGAATGAATGCAGCAGGTGCAGGCTTCAATTAATAAGTGAAGCAAACTCTGTGTATGTCTTAGTACTGTTTATGGGTCTAAGTACAAAATTGTAGTTATGGAATAACATAGCTTTGCTGTCAAGGTTGGCCAATAAATTATACAACTTACAATATAAGAATAGGCAGAGAGGTATGAGGAATCCAGAAAAGGCACATTTTTAGAAATAATATCTCTATTTGTGGATAGCAAAAATATATTTTTTTCTAGTGCAGCCTTTCTGAAAGCATTTAAGTCATAATTATTCATTTATTATAGTAAAGAATGTCTTTTAATCACTTTAAAAGTTTGGAATGTATGCAGCAAACAGAAAAAAAGAATAGAAGTGTTACATCTAAAAGCTCAGGGAGACTTTTACACATCCATAATTCTCACTGATAACGTTTAATTCAGTGGATTAAATTCTCCAGGCTATGCTGAAGGAAACAGCATAGCATTTATTTTTGCTAAAATAAATGTAGGGAATGTGCATCTTACCTCTTGCTGTGCATATCCACGTCTGAATTACAAATGTAAAAAGAAAAGAAAAACATGACATTAATTCAATTACTTGCATTACATTTATGAATGTAAATATATGTTCCAAAAATGGTTAAAAATAATATGTGGGAACCTTGTGGATAAATCCATTGGAAATAATGAGAAGGAAGGGAATTGGTTGTTATGGCAACAATAAATGCATAGACCATAAATATATCTAGCATAGGAGTACTATGAACTTGAATAATGGCATAAAAGTACATTGAATTTTAATTGCTGAAGAGAACAAGTTTCATCTGATATTGACTATATGAGATATCTTAATCTTAGTGCCTTGAAAGAAATTCTTTTCCTCAACTCCCCTTCATCCTTCCTTCTGAAATTTACTGCAGGAAAAATGGAGTTTCTATTTGTGTCTTAGATCTTCTCTCCATAATTTATATCTCATTCTCATCTCCTTGCTTCTGCTATCCAGAAATCACTTCAGAAAACGAGTGAACTTCTGTTACATTGAGGACTTGTCTCATATCTGGAAAGGATTGATAGGGGTGCACAATTGTGACCAGTTCAGTTTATACTGTATATCTGAAAGTTCTCGGGTGCACATTTAATTTGCAATTGAGCAACGATAACCACTTATATTTAAGTATGTTAAAGCAGTGGTCCCCAACCTTTTTATCGCTGCGGACCAGTCAGCCTTTGATAATTTTACCGTGGCCCGCTGAGCGCGCGCAGGGATGGGGGGCGTTGTTCGCGACGACACATTGATTGCGTACCTGCGCGGGGCTCTCTTCCTTGGAGCCTTTGCGCAC